CCCCGTTATCCGATAACGCGCCACGATGACAGTATACTACGCCTTCGCGGGCCCCGTAATTCTCTCCTCTCCCCGCGGGTATTTCCCGCGACGTTATCCTTGGACACCCCTCTGAAGTCATCCCCTCGCGTGTGGCGTCATTCTCTTCCCCGACGTCATCCCCCTTACCCTGTAACACCATCTCCCTCACCCTGTGACGTCACCATTTGTGACGTCATCCCCCTCCCTTTTCCCTGTGACGTCATCCCCCCTCGCCGCGGGTACCCCCCTCCTCGTTGCCCCTGAATTAGAATCGGTCTACCTACCCTACTTTGCTCTGTGGCCAGTTCTTGAGTGGAGGTTATGACAGGCAAGTGAACGGCGATTATACGAGATAGTGTATCAGGAACAATATTCTCCTTTCCAGCGATGTATGCTATGTTCGTGGTGAATTGCGCGATCAAGTCCAGTTGTCGCGCCTGTCGTAGCGATGCTTTATCTAGACGTTGTCTGAACGCATGTATTAATGGTTTGTGATCCGTTTTAATGGTGATCACACGGCCCTAAAGAATGTCTTTGAAAAATTTAATGCTTTCGTAAATAGCTAAGAGTTCACGATCGTACGCGCTATACTTCTTGTGTCGCTAAGTTTTTTTGAGAAGAATGCTATAGGTGATAATTGATTATCGTTTACCTGTTCTAGCGAGGCTCCAATAGCGGTGTTCGACGCGTCAATAGAGAGGAGTAAAGTCACTCCTTCGATTGGATGTGCTAAGAGTGTAGCATTCACCAGCTCTGCTTTGCGTGCTTCAAAAGCGGTTGTGATTTCGGCAGTCCATGGCGCAGGTCTCTTGTCGTTTTTGCGGCTGTCATTGAGTAACTCGTTCAGCGGCGCTTGATTTTTAGCTGCATGTTTAAGATGCCGGCGGTAATAGTTCAGCATGCCAAGGAATCTGCGAAGTTGAATTATCGTTTAAGGTCGTGTAAATTTTGTGATTACGTTTACCCTGTCGGCTAGAGGTTTGACACCCTCACTGCAAATCTCGTGTCCGAGGAATTCGATTGACTGTTGTCCAAACCTGCATTTTGCTGGGTTGATCTTAATACCTGCGTCTTGGAGTCGCTCGAAAACTTGACGTAAATGTCCCTGGTGTTGTACTTCGTCGGTTGAAGCTATTAGCACGTCGTCTACGTAACAGAAGCAAAATTCTAAACCTTGCAAAACGCTATTCATTAGGCGTTGGAAGGTTTGTGCTGCATTTCGCAAATCGAAAGACATGGTCACGAATTCAAAAAGACCGAAGGGTGTGGTTACAGCCGTTTTCGGAATGTCTTCCTCCAATATAGGCACTTGATGATATGCGCTGATCAGATCTAGCGTGGTAAAAATGCTCTTTCCGTGTAGGTTGTTGGTGAGATCGTGTATGTGAGGCAGCGGTAACGATCTGGAGTCGTTATGGCTTTCAAACCTCGGTAACCCGCAAGATTTCCACACGCCTGATTGTTTTTTTGGCACCATGTGTAGCGGCGCCGCGGGGTGATTCCGATTGATCACGGCTCGATTGGACACCACCAATCACAGCGACCGATGCTTAGGAGCTTTATAGTCTCAAGCGCTGTGAGTGGCTCGTGTCCAATTGAGCCGTGTCCAACTGGGTGCCACCCGGCGCCACCTATGGGTTATTTGATGGTCGACAGACCCCTAGTTGCATTAGATGTGCAAACTCTGCTTTCGCGGTTTTCAATTTATCCGGAGGCAATCGTCGTGGTCGGCTGGCTATAGGAGGTTCTCTCGTCTGGATGTGGTGGACGATTCCGTGTGACCTCTTGATGGGTAACCGTGGTTCCGTGGTGATTCCTGGATAACTTGCCAAAATGTGATGATATGCTGATGTGGAATCCAAGATGTTGGCGACGACATAGCTGATTCGTCGTTTAAAACCTGGAATATTTAACCGCGTAATATTGTCAATAAGGCATTCGCCTTGAATGTCTACTATCAGACCGTAATGTTTTAGTAGATCTGCTTCTATGACAGGGCGAGAGACGTCGGCTATAGTGAAATGCCAAGGGATTGGTCTACTCCCAGATCTAACGTAAGTAGCTTTTGTCCGTAGGTTTTGACTTGCGAGCCGTTGACTGCGTATAGGACAAGTGGTGTCGGTAAGACTGCTCCTCTGTTCCCTGCTGTTGGTAAGAGAGATGTCTGCGCCTGTGTCGATAAGAAAGATTAGACCTGTGATTTTGTCGGTAACATGGAGTCGAGGAGATACATACCTCGAGACCGTCGTTGGTGGTTCCAGCTGATGGCGTCCTATTCGTTTCCCGGTAGAGCTTTTGTCTGCTTGCTGCAGGGTGGCGTACATTTGCGTGCCTGGTTGCCGAATCTCTGATGATAATATTACTGACATGAATCTTTTGTCGACGTGTTCCACCCCTTACTTGGATATCGTGCGCGGTTTCTGCTACGGCTTCTTGCACGACTCTGTTTGGTCTATAGACTTATAAGATAGACGGAGCATTCATACGAGAAGACAACATTGAAGGACAGTTCTACTCCAGACATAATTGTTTCCCTCTTTCACAGTGAGCGGTGGGGGACCAATTAGCTTGAGCGTAAGGCCACAACTTTTGAACGTCTATTTTTGTTACTCTCGGCTACTTCCCGGCCTACCGCGGCGACCAATCAATTCACTACTAGAAAAGAAGAGAACTACTCCGCCACTGTTTCTTTCTCTTTCTATCACGTCTTCAGCTTCTCTCGTACGGATGCTCCGTCTATCTTATAAGTCTATGGTTTGATCAGCCTCTCGACCTTTGCTGTCAGAGCTGCCACCTGGTTGATCAGCTGTTGTATGTTGTCCTGTGAGCTCGTTGTGGTTGTTTGCACTGCGTGGATGTCCACTGCTGTAGGATGGTCCTTGAACTTGTCCGCTAATTTATCGAGGTTGGCGTCGTCGAATATTAGCAACATCTCCTGTGTGCGGGCAGGCATCCGTTGTAACCAGAGAGTTCGTAGCAGGCCTTCCGTGGTGGTCTCTCCTGCCAGGTCTCTCATTTCGAGAAGCAAATGCGACGGTTTTTTGTCGCCGAGCTCGATGCTCATTAGAAGTGTTCTCATCTGCTTTTTCTGCGAATCGGTGAATCTCGCAATTAGAGTTTCTTTCAGTTTTTGGTATTTATCAGTTGCTGGCGGATTCTCTAAGACATCCGTGACCGATATCATCGTGGTTTTATCGAGGTGTCTGATGACCGAGCTGTATTTTACATCGTCTGATCTGATGCGGCATGCGCTGAATTCGGATTCTAACTGTACGAACCATAGTATCGGACGATTTTTCCAAAATGTCGGCAGTCGAACGTACCGGAATTCCGCACTGAATTCTTCTTGACGAGGCATCGTTGATGGCTGCAACTGGCGATTTTATGCGATCCCGTCTCCGCTTACGGGTGCTGGTAGCGAGCCTTCACTTTCGAGGATCGCGTTGTCCGGCGTTTGCGGTGGTGCTCTCGATACAGACATATCGACACGTGGCACGTGCTTTTCAAGAATCTCGAATCTAAAATCTCGTCTTGTCTTTAAACTCTTCGCGCAAAAAATATAATACACCAATACTGTCATCAGCACATGTCGAGCGAATGTTTAGTGCAGGTGGCTTACTATTTGATGATTTACGAGGAAAATTGACCGACCGTCATTTTGAGATAACGCTTTTATTAAAATTTAATAATTATTTCTAATTTAATAAGAACTAAGAACCAGAAAAGTCAATTATTATTATTAATTTTCACACGTGATTCTGCAATGTATATGATTCTAAGGAATTATAAGTTTTGTTATTATTTAATATTTTGTCATTATTGATACGTTGTATTCTTATCGATAGTTTACCTTTAACTTAAAATGTAATTTTTAAAAATGTAATTACTAATTTTATATCTTCTCTATGTTAGTTTTTTTTACAGTTATATAGTTATATAATTATATGTATCATACATAAAAAAAATTAAAAATTTAATTTACTTAATAATCTATATAATTGTGTGTGTGCAGTTATTTAATCTCATTTTAAGAAAAATTAGGACATTTTGACCTCAAAAATAATTTTTTTCGAAATTAACTTTTTTTTTACTTAAGTTAATTCAATATTAACTTAACTTTCGTTAAGTTCATTTTTTATTCCTTTAACTTTTAACTTTGATTTATTAATTTTGTAAAGCCATTAACTTTAACTTTATTCAGTTAAAAAAAAACATTAACTTACCCAACCCCGATAAAAACGAATAGAATTAAAAGTATATTTTTAATCGAATTAAGCAGGAAATTGAGAGAAAATAAATTATTTACAGTGAATTGTATGAAAATTTAATAAATTATGACTGACCAATATTCAGGTATTATACATATAACCTCAAATCGTGAGTTTGAGGGCATTATATTATTACATATCAACGAATTGGTGGGAAAAATAGAAAAACGTAAATTAATTTTAATTAAAATTTTAATTATTCCTGTGTTTTAATATAAACTATCAGTACTGAAAATCTATAATTTACATAATGTGTATTTCAGATTTCTGGTATTAGCAGTAAATATCAAAACATATATATCATATATATTTCAGTTATTTCGTCAGTATTATATATAATTTAAAGTATGTATATTATTTATTAACTATTAGAAGAAATAACAATATTATATGTCTATAAATACAAAGTCTTACAATTTTTTTATTATTACTTGTAAAGATGACAGAAGAAGTTGAACAAACCAAAAAAAGAGTACGTAGTGCAAATTATACGTCAGAAGAAAAAGCTACTTTAATAAATATTATTACCAAATATAAAAATATAATCAAGGACGGGAAGTAACTCATTACTTGTAACGAAGTTACAGTTAGAGTTACTTTTTTTCAGTAACTGTAACTTAACTTCATTACTTTCTTTCCATCTGTAACTATAACTTAACTTAGTTACATCTTTTAAGTAACTAGTAACTAATTTAATAGTTACTTTCATAGATATTTTATATATTTTAAACTTATTTGTCAATTTAGTATGCGGTAGTGTCTACTTGGCGCTACAAATACTTCGAAACATTTGATTAATCGG